TTCAGATGGCAGGCGTAGACACATTGCGCAACCTGTACAAAGACTGGAGCCCCCTCGCGCGCGCGGTCATCGATGCGACGCCGTACACCAAGATCTACCCTAACACGGCGGCCAAGGAGTTGGACTCGTGGGTCTTGGGGGCTGGTCGGGTTTCTCTGGCAGGGGACGCGGCACACGCGCACGGCGGAGCCTTTGCGGCAGGCGGGAGTCTGGCGATCGACGACGCATGGGCATTTGCGCAGGCCGTCCTACACGTTTTCCCGGAGACGCAGCGAATCTGCAAGCCCGTGTCCGACGATGACGTGGCCCGCGCTCTGCGCCTGTACGAGCGGACGCGGAAGGAACACACCGACCGAGTGCAGAGGACGGTTCAGCAGCGGAACGGGGCCCTCGTCAGCCTGATAGATCAGAAAGAGACGGACGCGGAGCTGCGGACGAGAATGCAGAGCCGCAGGGACTTGGTATGGATTCACGAGCATGATGTGGAACGGGCTTTCTTGCAAGCTGTGGCGGCGGAGACGCAGCGCGAGACTTCAAGGTTGTAGAGGTTGCCTTGCGATGAGTGAGAGTCCCCCCCTCCCATGGCCTAGTCGTTATACCAAACTCCGTACTCCTGCCCTCTCAAGTCGCACATGTCGCGCAACTCTTTCTCTCTTCCTAATAGGATGCTGATAAAGACGCGCATCGAGGAGCTCGAATCCGGCTCTGAGTGTACGGGCGAATCGGGCTCGCCCCAGCTGAAGCGGATAATCTGGCCCGGTTCGACAGTGGCTTCTTGGTATTTCGCCAAGATTACTGCGAGCTCAGCGTTGGGTTCGTTCAGGTCTGCACATTGACCCGTTGACAAGGGCGTCATGAGAGCGGCGTGTACGGCAGGATTCGTTACCATGGCCCTCGTTGATGGTCCGAGGATGGTGAAGGCATACTTTGAATGTGGAAGTTGGGGCGTGGGACAGCTGCAGTCGTACATGCGCCCGTCCATGTGCCATCTGGGAATGGTCCAGACAGGTGTAGGGAGCGTCATGCGGATGCAAAGCCAACAGGAGTGTGTAGCGTCAGGCACGCTATCACTTTGAGCGAGCGTCAGAAACTTGAGTAGGGTCTCCCGAAGAAGACTTTCATCGGCATCTGAGTTATTGGCGATGGCTGACGCTGCCCGCGTCGCAAGCGAGGTCACATCGAGTGGGCCATAAAACCCACTGTCGCTGTCGTTATCGATCCGTGTGATGAGGCCAGATGGAAGAGGCTCATGAGAGAAAAGAGCAAGCGGCTCTGGCCGGATGGCGTGTTGCGGAGTCGCAGCACTGCCGTTTTGTAGGTCAAACTCCATGATGGCTGCTCGGTTTTAGTATATGACCCGAATGCGAGGCATGTGGAACTGATGGTGAATCTGAAAGCTTAGTGCCTGGGCTGTCCACTTACATAGGTACCGGGCAGCCTCCTTCAACAGCAGGGACCCTGGTCTTTGCAGGTCTCGTTGCATCAGCCCATAGATAGACTCATCGGCCAGGATCTGGCCGGCCAGGATTGGCGTGTATCCAGGCAACAGTCGCGCTCCATGACTCTTGGCTGGTGGCTTTAGTCCTCGGTACTCAATGCTGACGGCTAAGTTTGCTTACTACCTGGATGCCATTTCTTTGATCTTGCAATCAGAGTGCAGATGATTGTGTGTTGATTTTGCGGTTTGCGGTCACCTTTGGGACTCGCTCATACGTGTTGGTGTGATGTAAAGAGTGGCCGCCATCACCACGTGTGCCAGACCCAGGGAGTTGCCAGCTCCCTGAGCGCGTGGCGTGAGCCAGCAACACAAGTGCACTGTAGCAGCTCGTCCGTAGACCTCTCACCCAACTCGCCTCACACGTCACACTCCATCCAACTCCCTCCATCACAGGAGAGTCCCTCGATATGGACTTTCCCAAAAAGAAACCCCCAAAACGAAAAGATGACAGAATCATCCTTCATTTTGTATGCCAACCACCCATGTCCTCCATCACGCGCGCCTCTGCCATTCGAAACCCTGACCCACCCCTAGGACTATGACTGCTTCTACGCTTCCGTTCTTGAATCGCAGAATCCAGCCCTCAAATCCCTACCCCTCGGCGTGAAGCAAAAGTCGATCCTCGCCACCTGCAACTATGTCGCTCGCGCGCGCGGCGTGCGGAAACTCATGCGCATCTCCGCTGCTCGCAAGATCTGTCCCGATCTAGTCGTCGTCGAGGGCGAGGATCTGACGCCGTTTCGGGATGTGAGCAAATCGCTCTATGCATTCCTCAGGGGCCATTCATGGAGCGGCAAGGTCGAACGCTTGGGCCTGGACGAGGTCTTTATGGGTAAGTGAGGGCCGACGGAGAACGGCCATGAGTGTGACGCTGACAAGGCAAACAGACGTGACAGACATGATCAACTACAACATGTCGTGCCTCAACAAACTGACTTTGGCTGACAGTTTTTTCTGCCTTTCAAAAACAGACCCAGAGAAAGGTTTCCCCTGTGACTTGACCAAAATGGCGGGCCGCGTCCACGGCGTACCCCCTCCTGCTGGGGAGCAGCAGCTCGAAAACCAGGCCTATGTGCGGCTCCTTCTGGGCTCGCATTTGGCCTGGTATCTCCGCACTAACATTGAAGAGAAATATGGCTTCACCTCCGCTTGTGGCGTGGCTACGAACAAGCTGCTGAGCAAGCTCGTAGGGAGCAAGAAGAAACCGCGGAATCAGACGACGCTGTTGGCCCTGGAGAACGGCTCTGCAGTGGACTTCATGGACTCATATACGATACGGAAGATTCCTGGCATAGGCGGCAAGACAACTCAGCTCTTGGAGAAGAGGCTACTGAATTTTCACAAAGAGATCGACTCATACGAGACCGAGTCTGCACTGTCAGCGCAACAAGTTCGTCTTCACCCGGAAATCTACCCCGAGACACTTGAGACGTTACTCAGTGGCCCGGGATCGGAGCAGGGTATAGGCGTCCGCATCTGGAACCTGCTTCATGGTGTCGATTATACCGAGGTTAAAGATGCCAGAGACGTGCCTTCCCAGATCAGCATCGAGGATACGTACAGGCAGTTGGATTCGTTAGTCCAGATTGAGGAGGAGCTAAAGAAGCTCGCGATATCCTTGCTGAGGAGGATGCGGGTTGATCTTACGACGGCGAATGACGCATTAACACACAGTTCTTCTGTGGACCAAAACACTCTTGAAGGCCAAAGCCAGAGATGGATGGCACATCCCAGGACGCTTCGTCTATCAATCCGTCTGTGGCCTGTCGAGGGTGAGAGGGACGATTGGAACTTCAGCCGGTCGTCCAAGTCCCAGCCCATGCCCAACTTTGTCTTCAACCTACAACTCCCTATCGAGTTCATCGCAGAGCGGCTGGCGACGGAGACATTGTTTCCCATGCTCTTGAAGTTCCACCCTGAGAAGGGCTTCAAATGGAACCTCCAGTTGATCAATATTTGCGTTGCCAACATGGTGGAGAGTGGCAGTGAAACGGGCTCGGGCGTAGGGAGGGATATTTCGGCCATGTTCCGGAAGCAGGACGACGTATTGCGTCAGTGGAAGCTTGACACGACCATAATAGAGGACGAGATCGATGATTGCGTGGATGGGGAGTTGACCCAGGAGCTAGTGAACGATAGCGAGGAAGACCACACAGACGGAGAAGCATCTTGGGAGCATGGCGACGCAGAGCGATGCCAGCACTGTGGGCACAGGATACCTCCATTTGCGGCTTCAGCACATGCTCGTTATCATGAGATGGAAGACTAAGGACGCCGAAATGGACAATAGGTCTGCGAGGGCGATGCACGTATGCTATTGACATGATCAGCATGGTTGTTGCAATATGTGCTTGGAGATACCAGCTGCCTCATCTTCCAAAAGCAGGCATGCCATTCACAGCCACGTTTCTGCCGCTGACGTAGGTACCTTACACTAAGCATTCGGTGGCGATTTATTCATGAAATCGGACTAGTCACATGGCATAGACTCCCTTGCTGCTGGGTTCGGTGGGAGAATCATCAAATCGTGGAGGAGAAGATGCGCTTCAGGAACGTGGAGACACAGATAATGCGGGGGAAGGACAAGGACATTGCTTGCCCCTGAACTGCAGCTCCATGTGAATTCGGTTGCAGAATGATCAACAAGGGAGGTAGAGCTATCAGCCGTCCTTACAGGAAGGAGACTATGTCAGATTCCCAGTCGTGTTAGGAAACTGTGCAAATAAAAAAACCAACAAAGAAGAGTTTCAACGTACTGCCGAACCAGACGACTGGGACAAGATCAGGGGCCATGATCGTGCATAAGCGAATGTGACGAGCCGTCTGAGGCCAGCAAACCCATGGCTGCCAAATTCAAAGTCCACGAATAGGAATTTAAAACCAAGGAATCACAATCGGACATCAGATCAACCTGAAATACCTACTGAATGGATACACGCTGCTGTGCTGGAGTCACACAAGTGGAAGCTTCTGGGGTTGGGGGAAGAACAAGATGCTGTAAATTGTGGGCGACATCAAAGGGGCTTGTGTCTCGCGAGTTGCAACTTCCCGTCAAGTCCTGCCCTAGATGAAGTACCTGCCTGATGTGCCTGTTCGACGGGAAGCGAGGAAGGTACAAACATTGCCGGCGCGAACAGACTTGACCCCAACTTCCTTCCACTGATCGTCACGCCTGCCGTTGTCGGTGTTCGTCTTGTGATGATTCCTGTGGTGACTTGGACCGCGGGCGAAGCGTTCACCACCATTGCGAGGATTCTCTGCGAATCCGGTTGTGCCTCTCTCGGTTTAAAGAGATCAAAGCCAAACGAAAGTCCTCATTCACTGCGTCAAGTCTCAGCGCGGGCCCCGTTGACAGCCCAGTGCAACCGGGTTCCCTACCGCCACATCGACCGATATCTTGCACAGTTTGGTCCATGTGTGCCTGACTATGCCGTCCTGACGACTCAGGTCGGTTGATGCCTCTCAAAGAGCCTTTGCGCAACGACGAAGCACGAGAAGTGCGAGTCACAGAAACAGCAACAGGTGCACACGGTCAAGTGTACCTGCAGCTTCACCGACCACCTCACCTGTCCGCACTACCTTCATCTTGAAAACCTTCCCAAAGGTACTCGAAACCACTGCAGCCTCGGCCTTGGCCACTTCTACGGTCAGGATCTCAGTAACCTGGCTCTTTCCAGCAACCTCAACACCAAGACTGTCAAGACGTACCACTGCAAGCTCAAACGGCGTGCCTGTCCATCTAGTCCTGTCTCTCTGCCGGGCAACATCAGAAACAGCTCAAATTGTTAGCATTACCTACTTGTGCCCCTTCTCGATCTTCGAGCCAAGGTACCGACCGAACTGCTCGGAAGAACAGCATAATCGACATGGTCAACAATACACCCCGCGGCGGCAGGCGCCCTTTCCCGCCTCGCCGAGCCAAGACAGACCTAACAGGCTTCCTGACTCACGAGGAGAACCTGGCCCTCATCGCCCTCATAGGAGAAATAACCAGGAGAATGGACGTCCAGATCACCAATACCTTCATACCCATAATCCCTGTCAAGATCGACAATAAATCCTCTTCCAACACAGTATTTGGTGGCAAGGAAAATAGCACGGCCTCCCAGAATGGCAGCAGGTCCTCGGTACCGGGCTATTCGAAGACACAGCAGACCGCACTCAAGTCGTATAGCAATGCCCACGTGCCGGCTGCCGATCAGGCCTCGGAAGTGGCCAGGAGAGACGTCCAACACGATGTCCACGCCAAGGCTGGCAAGCCCCAGCATCAAGAGCTAAAAAAAGAACTCCTTGCCATATTCAGGAAATGGCAGACAAACCTCCACATACGCATAGAAGATGTTTTTGTCAAACCTTCCTCCGATGGCACCCCAGTCATGAGCCACCGCGGCGGGCGTGGCACAGGACGCGGAACGCGTGGCGGTCGAGGTGATCATGAGTCTCCTCGTGGTGGTTCACGGTCTGCTGGTGCCGCGCTCCGTGGCGGTACTCGAGGCGGCTTTCTTCGCCCTGTTGTGAGGCTCCCTGGTACGTTATTCGAGCGGACCTGAGCGGTACCATGTGCAAAGAAGCCATGCCCCCTCTTCCTTGAGGCGGGCGCAACTGACACAAATTGCAGGTCAGGCAGTGACGCCTCCAGTCAATGATCTTGACCCCTATCTCAAGCGCCGGTTTCCACCCCTGTATACGTGGCTCAGCGGTCTCCCGTTGGATAAGCGCAAGCTTCTGCTTCATGCAACCATGCTTCTTGTGCTCTCGATGGAAACCTATTCTGCGTTCGCTCGGATTCTGATGCTTCATTTAGCATCGTCTCTAGGACTCTCTATGGAGATCCTGTTCGAGGACGAAAACCGTGTTGCTCGGGGTTTAGGCTCAGCCGCCGCCGGTGTTGATCTTGACGCAATTCTCCAGCAGAAAACCACTGAGAGTAAGAAATCTCGCAAATGGAAAGCTGCTGGTGCGGCTCTGATCGGCTCCGCAGGGGCCTTGGCCGCCCCCCTGGCCTCGGCCGGCATTAGTTGTGTCGAGGGTGGCATCAAGCTGAGCGACACAGCAGCCGCTGGCCTCCTTGGCTCCGTGGCCCACAACGGCATTGTTGTTGGCAACATGTTCGGCATATACGCTGGAAGAGACACGGGCAAAATGATCGATCAGTATGGAAAGGATTCTGCTGATTTTGCATTGTTGTCTCTGAACGGCACATCCGAGGAAGGATACCGCGACGCTAAGCTGGTTCCTCCTTCAAGTCGTCGTATGAAGTTTGCCATTGGTGTCAGTGGCTGGTTGACGAAAGAGGATGGCTTTGTTGTTCCTTTCCAGTGCTTTGGACCCCAAGCTGAGTGCTTTACTTTACGATACGAGGTTGAAAACCTTATGAACTTGGGCACTGCGCTTGAACTGGTCATCAAAAGTGCCACTTGGGCAATGGTGAAGAAGGAGATGAACAGGCGCCATGGTACGTCTTCCGCGTGTCTAACCTCGGACATGATGATACTAACAATTGCCAAGTCATGACATGTCTCAAAGACGGCAAATGGCCAGTCGGCTTGGTCCGAGTCAGCAAGATCCTCGACAATCCATGGTCCATCGGTATGGTGCGATGTGAAAAGGCGGGTATGGCCCTGGCCGAATGCATCGGACGCAAGACTCAGGGCGACCGGCCCGTATCGTTGGTCGGGTACAGCCTGGGTGCCCGCGTCATCTACACTTGTCTCATGGCTCTGGCGGAGAGACGCCAATTCGGACTTGTCGAGTCGGTGGTCATCATTGGAGCTCCTGCGCCATCTGACCCCGGTATCTGGTGCGCCATGAAGAGCGTCGTCAGCAGTAGGCTGATTAATATCTTTTCCGAAAACGACTATGTTCTCGGATTTCTCTACCGCACATCCAACACCCATTCTGGTGTTGCTGGCCTCGAGCCGGTGACGGGTGTGGAGGGCGTCGAAAACTTCAGTGTCAGCCGTGGCTTCAATGGACACTTTCGGTACCAGTTCATGGTGGGGTCCATCCTGAAGATGGTCGGTTGGGAAGACATCAACCATGCACAAGTGTCTCGGGATGAGGACATGCTGGCGAAAAAGGACAACAAGTACAACAGAGACAAGATTATCAAGGCCGCACATCTCCCGCTCGACAAGAACGTGCGGCCAGTGCTCTCGACCAGACTGATGCCTCTCATGACGGGTACGGGCAAAACAGTGCCGCTACGAAGCTCAGCTGGCCGCGAGAATGCCTTCAAGCTCGATCCTCGCATGACCAAGATTCAGATGCATGGCTAGAATGGCCAACCAATCCGGGCCAGGCCAGAGAACATGATCATTCAGGGGTATCGAATACAAAAACCATGGGTCTAGGCAATCAGCTAGGGGTCGCTAGGAGAGCAAGATACCGCAGCGTGGTTCGTTGCATGTTCCCTCTGCTGTGGGATTACATTAGCTATCGCGTACCGAGTCGGTAAGGGTTTCTTGGCTCGGGGGGGTAAGAAATCCACCCCCAATGTATGAGTACCTACGCACCTTATTGAGCCTCTACGAGAGGAATGCATCACTTTCCGCCATGATGTGGACACTGTTCATGCTGCCTCTTGCCCCTTCTTGCTCTGCACGACAAAGTACTTGCCCGCGGTTCGTTGCGCTGTGCCAAGGGGATCCCATGCCTCTGCCGTCTTCGCATCTTGATCCACAGCGGCCTTGTCGCCCTTGACACGCCTCGGCCGTTGTCGATGTCCGAAGGCCACTTCCTTGTCCAAGGCCGACCGCAGCTCTGCCAGCCCTACCGTCGCCGCCACCCGCCCGCGAGCCGTCTCGTCACGCAGAGCACGCAGCGGCTCGACGCCCTCTGTGTCGACGGCCTGCACGTCGCGCACGAAGCGGAGGTGCGCGTGTAGCGCTGCCAGTAGGGCGGACGTGGCTTGAGGTGTCGCCGGCGCGGGCAGGGCCGAGAGGCGGAGAAGATGGTTGAGCTTCTGGGGCGAGATCTCGTCGGATGTCGAGGGAGACGGGCTTGTCGCGAGTAGGGAGGCGATGGACCAGGTTGGTTTTGCCAGAATGGCGGCTGGGCTCTGCTTGCTCGGCGTGGTGGCTGTCGAGGAGAGGGCTCGTCTAGCGACTGGGCCCTGGAGCTTGCGCATGCGGACGCAGCGTGGGCATACAGGGCGCGCCATTGTGCTGAAGGGAGAGGTGGGTGTCGACGTGTGTAGGAGATGAAGGTCTCGAGTCGGCAGCGTTGTCGTGAGCGACGGAAGCTTGAAGCTCGAGTTGAAGGACGATGGACCAGGCTTGGATTAAATGTTAGGGAGAATGTATCTCCTGGCTCACAGCGAGGATACGGGTACGGAATCCACACCAGCTCGGCTCAGCCGCCCGGGGGGTGCGTGTCCCTGTAGCGTCATAGCTCGAGACGCCAACATCTGACGCCTGAGACCCTGCTGCGACTTGGAACTAAAGTGCCTGACTTGCGACACCTCCAAGCCCCCCCCCCTCCGTGCATACAACAACAACCTTGCCACCAAACCATCGATACACGCAGCGACTTCCTCCTCCTCCTGCAAAATCGACCATTTCAATCTCTTTATACACTCACGAAAGCCCAGACGAAACAGCCCAATATGGCCCAAGATCCCCGCGCCCTGCTGCAAAAGGTACGCTGTACCCCGATCACCCCGCGCTGCCCCGCCATAGCCGTTTCCAAAGCAGGCGGGGATGGGGGGGGAACAAGATGCTAACAACTCGCAACAACTAGGCAGACAAGCAGCTTTCGTCGGCTGGTGGTGGATTCAGTTTCTTCGGCGGAAGGGAGGAGAAGTACCAGGATGCCGCCGAGCTGTACCTGCAGGCGGCCAACGCCTTCAAGATGGCCCGCCAGCGTAAGTGTCCCTTTTGCCGTCCCGACGAGATAAATGCCTTGCCTTCAATACGAGACCTGGTATGACTGACACGACGGCTCAAAAACAAACAGCCCTCGAAGCCGGCCAGGCCTTTGAAAAAGCAGCGAGCATCCAGACGACGAACCTCAAGGAACCCGACGACGCAGCCAACACGCTCGTCGACGCCTTCAAGGCCTACCGCACCGTCGACGCGGCCGCGGCCGTGCGCTGCCTCGACGTGGCCATCAACCAGTACTGCACCAAGGGCAACTTCCGACGGGCGGCGGGCCACAAGGAGGCCCTCGGCGAGCTGTACGAGACGGAGCTCGGCGACACCAAGAAGGCGCTCGAGTGCTACGAGGCGGCGGCGGGCTGGTACGAGGGCGACAACGCGACGGCGCTCGCCAACAAGCTGCACCTCAAGGTCGGCGACGTGGCCGCGCTCGAGGCCGACTACTACAAGGCCATCGAGGCCTACGAGCGCGTCGCCTCCGCCTCCGTCTCCAACAATCTCATGAAGTACTCGGTCAAGGACTACTTCCTCAAGGCCGGCATCTGCCACCTCGCCACCGGCGATGCCGTCGCCGCCCGCCGCGCCATCGACAAGTACGCCGACCTCGACCCCTCGTTTGCCGGCCAGCGCGAGTTCGCTCTGCTCAACGACCTGCTCGCCGCCGTCGAAAAGTCCGACCAGGACGAGTTCACCGACAAGCTGTTCCAGTACGACCAGGTCTCCAAGCTCGACCGCTGGAAGACGACGTTGCTGGTGCGCGTCAAGGGCGCCATTGAGGAGCCCGAGGACGAGTTTGCTTGAGGTGCTTGCGGCCGGGTGGGGAATGAAGGGGAAGAGGGGGCGTGTTGGTCTGACAGAAAGGTCATTGAGCAGTGAGACTGCTCTTGGAAGCGTCGTCTTTAGATACGGATATCAACTCAGAAAGGCACAATCATTAAACAGTCCATATGCACATCAACAGCACTCTCTCAAAATGGGTTTGATGCTCTCAACAAGTCCCTACCGCCGAATCTGAGAGCTTGGCTAGAGCTCATCGGCAACACGCAACAGACCACGACACGTACGCAGAGACTTGTCGTTCCGCCGTACTATGATCTTAATACTTCTTTTTCCAGACCTCTCTTGCTGCACACGCCAACGCTATGCTACAGTGGCAAGCTACTCTACGCGTGCTCCTCGCAAGCCAAGGGCCAAATGCGTTGGACAATCCAAATCATATGCCTGCGCCAAACTACCGCCTTCTCTCTCATGCTGTTTGCTGGTTTCATCCTGTGCCCAAGAAGGAAAGCAAAAGAATGTTGCTTCTCTTCATCGTGATCGAAACCTTTTCCGTACTCCCCTTGTCATGGTGCCCTGGCCTGTCGGCATCGTGCCGAATGAATTAAGCCTTTTTGTTGGTACAATCCTGGCGAAGAGACATGCGTGACACTCCTCCACGTCGTCGACATCGTCTTCCTATATATACACTGCGCGGGTCAGCGCAGAAGCAACACGCTCTGCAAAGGCTGCCGCGCCTCGCCGGGCCTCTCCATTTGTGACCTCTAGTTGGTCGGCGAGGTTCCCAGCATGCTCGGGACTTGTTTCCTGACCAGCCCCCGCGTGCCGCGTTGTTCAGGCCGCGGCACACCCTGGATGACGCGAGGTTCTCGCATGAGCGAGGTGTCCAGCCTGGCGGGGATTCTTGTTACAATAGACCGGTAGTCGCCTGGAAACTTCGCACTGGGGACTGGCACAGACGCCGTGCGCCACATGTGATCCGACGTGTCGCTGAGGTACGTCGGAATCTTGAGTCGCGACGGCGGAGAAAAGGCAGATGAGTTGCTCGAGGCCCCATGGGACGACCGGATCGTGGACAGGCGCGATAGCCCAGATACTATTCCTGGACGACCCCGTGCCTTCTTGGCCATGATGATCTCATCGAAAAACCTAATGGACGCAGTGGTACCTGGCTTGGTCTCGCGTTCATGGATGAATTCGTTGAAAGCTGTAGACGTTAGTTTCGTGTCACCGGTAAGCTGGGTGGGAACTCGCATTACCTTGTGTTTCACGCATCATGTTGGCATATTCCTGTTGATCGTACGGGAGACTCTTGATGAACCCGTCCATATCAAAGGCGTACATCCGACCGTTATTCTTCTGATCCTTCGATGGCCGGCCGAGGTGCTTCCGATAGGTATAAAGCAGACTGGCGAGGCATCGCACAAAGGCAGCTCTGACCCTGTCAGGATAGAAGCTCTGGTGGCAGGCCAGAGAAACGCAGCCCAGACAGCGTCCGTGAGCGAAGGCGCTGCATCCAGAACACTTGTAGATCCCATCGCCCTCGGCACGATCGTCGCAGACGCTGCAGGAAGAAGAGAGCGCGCCTTCTTCCCAGTTGAAGCAGTGCCCCTCCACCCACACCGTCGTCTCCGTGTTGAACACGGGCTGGATCAGCATGTTAGGCATGATCGTCGACGCCGCGAGAGTCGATTGCGCGTATGCGGACGGAGCATAGCCTCCACCATACGAGGACTGCGCGTACGGCTGTGAATCCACCGAAATTGCAGAGATGGACATGCTTGGAGCATGACCGTTACCGTTCAAAAACGGAATGCTGGGTCGGTGAAGAGGGCCATGCTTGTCAACGCCGAATGAAGAGCTGCGGCGGGTCTTTTCATCAAAGTTGCGGGATCGCTTCTCACGTAGCGTCGATGTCAATGCAAAGCCAGAGTCGCTTCTTGACACCGGCGTAGTGGGCATGGGCGGGAAGTTAATCGAGACAGGCGAGACAGATGAAGGCGGGCTGGTCCTCGTTGACTTGCTCGTGCCGGGCCGGTCTGGTTTATTCGGGTCGACTTTGGAATGTAGGAAAGCGTTAAAAATGGGCGGTTTCACTTCCGATGCGGGGCTCGGCTCGCCAAAGGTTGCAGAATTCTGGGCCACCCACTGGGCCAACGTGCTGGGTGAAGTGTGATCATTGTAGAGCGAAGGGTTCTCTGCGGAGAAGGCATCGTATGGGAATGATTCCATCGCATACGGCGGCGGGCCGGTGGCGACACCGTACCGCAATTTCGCCGGCGCCGCGACCTGCAAGAGCGCATGGAGCTTGCGTCGATGCTGTCGCGGGAGGCGGACCGGTTGCGACGTTGCATCGATGGTGTCCTTGTCAAGATCCACCAATACATAGTCATCCTCTGGAAGCTCAATACGTTCGTAGCGGCGCTCAACGCCAACGATGTACGGGCAAGGCGCCTCCAGAGCTGAGAGCAAGCGTGCCGGAAGAACAGGGATGAAGATGCTTGCCCATTTGAGTGGGTACAGCAGGTTGACAAGTGCATGGCATGCAAGATGGAGCATGCCAGTGTGCGATGAGAGGAAGATGATGCGTGACTCGGACATGGCGTACTCGAAGAGGGCCACGATGTTGTCGAGTGAGAGACACCGGAACAAGGCGTAAATATCGATAGTTCGAGAGCCAGGAATCTCGTTGACAGCATCTTGCCTGGCGTACAACTTGAGCTCTCGCACGCCTAATTCGACCTGAGTTTTGGAGCCCAAGGGGCTGAAGGCCTCGGTACAAAGGTTGACGACGTATCGTTCCAAAGGCTGCCAGCGTCCCACCTTGGGAGAGCTTGGCGGAATTCGCAACACACCGCCATCCGTCATGGGAACAAGCACTGCCCTCAGCCAGTCCTTCCAAAAGGCCATCCGGGTAACATCGCGGCCAAGGATACCGTACGCTCGGGGGCTCCATAAACCGCTCTCGCCTGCTGTCAGGCCGTCGATTTTGGAAGCCGCTCCGTGGCGGAGCGGCCTCAGCATTTCCGTCATAAGACTGATCTTCTCCTCGACGGTGCTGATTTGGTCGTCTAGTGCGTCTCGTGCTGAGGATCCTGAAGGAACCGAAGGCAGCCTGGCTAGCAGTGATGAAAGGTTCGCGCGCTCAGCAGCCAGTCTGACGCCTAAGCTCGCCGCCAGCTCGCGCTCCTCGTTGGACATGTGCCTCTGCCGCCACTGCTCGCATCTTTTCTCAACCTCCTCCGCGACATCAGACGTCAGAGCCGTCCAAATGATGATGGTGATGCCGTAAATCTTGGAGTTGTCGTCAGAGGTCATGGTAAAGCCATGCCACGTGGAGCGGGGTCTGTCGTCGGAGGAGACAATTTGAATATCGTTCGGGAAGGCAAACATGGGGACATAATCAGGGAACTTGCCCCTTCGCGCGGTCTCTTCTGGAACATCCTTGGCTGGGTAGCGGTCGAGCAGGACAGGCTCGAAGCGTCGCTTCAGAGGATGCATATTAGGGTCGGTATTGAGAGGTTCGGGCGGTGGGATCACAGAGTTGTAGTTGCTCAAGCGTCTCGTGGTGCGAATCGAGCCTACAACAAAGGCGTTAGTGAAAATGGCCCTGAACTGGATTGAGACGTCTCTGACTGACCTTGTCGAGGTATCGCGCCGGCGCCTGGCGTGTTCGCCCTCGGTGTGACAGGCTGCCTGCGCGAGCTGTTCATGTCCCTGAAGCTCATCTTGCGACGAATGCTGCCCTTAATGCTCCTCTCGAGGTTCCGAAGCGGGCTTCTCCTCCCACTCTGGTCACTATCCTCAGCCTTGATTCTCTCTGCACGCGGGTTGACCATTGGCGGCCTGGCTTGCAGCTTGGCGCCGGCGCTGAAGGTGAGGTCGTCGAGGAAGTTTTCACGTTCGGCGGCGAACTTGACCAAAGCGTCGTCAAAGTCGAAGCCATCCAGGAGACCGATGCCCGGTGCGGGCCCAACACCTTCGTTTGGAAGACCGTTGCCCTGGGCGTGAGCGGGGCGGATGGTGACGCTGCTGCGGTTGCTCTGGGTGTTGCCGTCGATTTCATCCAGGGTGTGGATGGAGAAGCGGCTGTTGGAGAGCCTGTTCGCCGAATTTTGCCTAGAATGGCGAGCATGGTGTCTCGGGGTGCCGGTGCAATTGGCATTCACGCCGTTTTCTTCTGGAGGCTGCTCGCCGTCTTTCTGCGATCGAAGCGGCGACCTGAGAGCTCGATGGGAGGGGGTCATCGTAGGCTATCGTCTCGATACCGGCGATCCAGAAGTAATCGGCAAGAGGAGTAGTCGATGAGCTGTCCATGACATGACACTGGAGCCTCGCAGCTGCAACAGTTGACGGAGGGGTACTTCTGAGAAATCAGGGTGGACGACGGGGGATTTTTATCACCAGGGTCGCTCGCTCTCGTATCGAAATCGGAGCACGGTTGGTCGGGGACGGTGCCGGGACTGGGCACGACAGGGGGTAGCGGGGTTGAAGATGGAGTCGCGACGCAAGGTGGAATCAGGGCCGACGACTGAGTTTGTCTGGACGGGAAGCTCGTGCACGAAAAGGGAGAGAGGCCAGCGCAAGAGGACTTGCCGGCGACCAGCGTCCGCCTGGTAAGATTGGCGGATTTGGGCTCGAATGGAAGTTCGGCGTGGTGAGAGCCCGGCCAGGGGTAAGGGTGGGAAGAATGGAGGTTCGCTCCGACCGGCCACCCAGCACGATGAGGGGTAGAGGAAGGGAATGAAGCGCGCTGTGGAATAGGCTCCCGTCGAGAGATTTGCCGGCGGGCGAGAATGAAGGGGACAGCTCGGTTAGAGTAGTTAAAGATGACAGGCCTCAAATTTTGGACTTGGGCCAGAAAGTCGGGAGCAAGATAGCGTGTTTATTCCTTCGCCGCCGTGGCTCGTCTCCTTGTGCCAACAACAACTGGCGCGTCTTTTCTGGCAACGTGCATGGGCTTAGGATGCAGACCCCCCTCCCAGGCTTCAAGCACGGCGCATGTGGATGTGGATTCGTATGGGGAGGTGAATGGAGGTGTGGGCAGGAGGAGCTTGCTGGTGAGTCGGCCAAGCTGCAGCCTTGATGTCGTCTAGCTGTAGTCTTCTCCTGTTTTTTTTTCAGAGCTCCTCGGATTCGAGGTTCGCCTTGTGTCGACAGGAAGCAAGGGGGAATTATTTTAAGGTTGGTCGAAGTGCTCGAGCCTTGGGCGGTAACGGCGTGGGACTGTCTCGGCCAGGTGGGAGTGTGGGAAGTGTGGAGGACGAGTTGGACATGGCAGAAAGCAAACAGGCCCCAGACGATGGAACTGAACTGGAGTGGACTGACTGAGCCCCCTTCCCTCCTTTCGGATGTCGATTTGAGTGGTCACTGAAACCAGCAGAGCGCGGTGACGGCGGCGACGGAGGCAAGATGGCGGAGGGGGTGCCGGAGGGGGACGGAACGAAGGGACGAGGGAGTTCGAGGGGGGAGTGGGATAAGAGACGGGATAGGCATGCTAGGATGGATTGGGATGTTGCAAGACCCCTTTGGGGGATTTTGCCGATGTCGAGAGCTCCTCGCTCGTCTGGTTCTGTCGAGACCTGTCAGGCTGCCGCGCGCTCGCTGGCTCTTGCCCTCAGGGCTCGTGGCGGTCGTGGACCCGCTACGGCTCAACGAGGGAAGCACTATGTCGATCCAATGCAGCCCCCCAAGCCCATCCACCTGCTAAGTGCCTTAGCTCTGCCCCCGCCAGGGGATCTGCCCCATCGCCCAGTGCTCATCGCCTCCTGAAATGCAAGCCTGCCGTGCTGGTGCTTGCCCTCATGCCGTCCCATCTCCTTCCTCACTTGTAGCATCTGCCTTCCATTCCGGGTGCATCTTGCCCCGTCTTGCGTGCGGTCTTTGCAGGTGCACCCTGAGGTTTTCTTGAGCACACCTCCAAACAAACCGGCAGGTAGGCAGACAGACAGACAGATACACAGATACACAGGCAGGGACGGGCGAAACATGCAGGGGGGGTCAAATCCGCAGTTGAAATGCAGCCATCAATCCTCCACCTTGCACACCATCTTCTGTCATGGTTACCTAAGATTCAACTCACCGTGTTACATTCGATGGGAGGTCACAAAAACATGATGCTACACTCTCTTCACCCGATGGTTCACCTTATGGTTCACCTTCAGCCTGACTGACGCGGGGATCTCAGCTTGCTTTTCACGCCCTACTCCCACCGCATCGCCCTGCGGTCGGTCGAGCCGCCTGGCTCGAGGGGTTGAGGCTGCCGGGGGCATCGATGAACAGGCGGCATGCGACCTGCAGCATCGACTGACAGGCTTTGTCTTGGGCCCTGCTTGCTTTTGTCCCAAATGTCCGTATTGTCAGACACGATCGAAGCCAGATCCATCTTGTCTGTGCTCTGCCGGCTTTGTCAGTCATCTCTGACATGGTCCGCCTGCTTGCTCACTTGGGGTCCAACTCCATCGCCGATGCCTCTTATTCGCCTTGGCCTACTCAACATCTCCGCCCCCATCCCGCAGGCACCTTTTGTCCGCCCCGTTCCCGTCCGAGACTACAAGGAATAAACACACACACACACACACACACCAAGAGAGAGAGAGAGAGAGAGAGAGAGGCCTCAGGCCCCGTACGTCCATGCTCATCGCCAACCTCGACGGGGATGGGTGCATACAACGAGGCATGCCCTGTGCCGGTCGCCGCGGCCCCCCATGACACCAAGACACGAAGAGAGCAAAACCCCGAATAGGGGTGCAGAGAAGACCTCCCCTTGCTCCCACTCTACCAGACAGTCTGACTTGAACGTTTGTTCACCGACAAGTCCCGACTCCTCCGCCTCGTTAGCACCGGGTCTAGCCCTCGCTATAGATGCAGGTGCCTTGCATGCCCCCATCGCCTAACTTGACAAGCCTGATAAAAACCCAGCATCCGTCTGCCCAAAGATATGGGACACGACCCAAGGCAAATGGTACGCACGCGGCCGTGGCGGGCTTGTTCCTGGTGAAGAATTTGCCGTCAACAGTCTTCGAGCGGGCTCCCGCATGCCCTCTCGTTTCGAAAGCCTCATGCGGATTGGGTTGCTAACTCGTCAGATGCCGCCGTCCTTGTAGTTCTGGCCCGTCGCCATGTTCAAGGTGCTTTGACCTTCGGCCGCGGATTACCTGCCTTGCCCATCCCCGTCGATCACTCTCACGCTACCTCGTGCTAAGGTGCCATGTCGTGACGAACTGACCAGGATGCGCGCACTGTTGTTCGTTCGTGTCTGTGGGCAGCTCTGCTTGGCTGCCACCGCGCCTCTTTTTGTTCTTTTTTGCACAGCAAGTTGATGATCTAGCCTCATGACAGGTTGATCCTATGTCAGTATCAGACACACACACACACACACACACACGCTCCCTACTTTCGTCTTGTTGACAACGAAGCCCCAGTGTCGCTGTCAGGGTTGTCGCTACCGCCTATATTGATTGACCTTGTCAGTGAAAATTCCACCAGGGTTGGTCCACGTCACACCAGCCTCGGCGGCCGTTAGGTGTGAACTGTAATCCTAGCACCCGACCACAGCCCATCGAGGTACCTCCCGTAGTGGATAGGCAGCCCGTTCAGCGGCGTGACGGAACAACAGGCCGCTATTCCAGGCCATCCTCTGTCACAGTTGCCAACATAGTTTATCCTAACTCGCGCTACCTGGCAGGATGACAGTGTTTCAGGTAGGTGTATCTGTATGCATTCTTCGGAGGCTAATGCAGTTCCATTTAACCCCTGGGTCTCCGGCCGCTGCTCCCCTATGTCCCATGGAATAGCTCATCGTCGGGTATCACGCCACGCTTCGTCGTGTCATCGAGCCATGCTCGTGAACCGTGTTTCGAGACCTGCTGGTTTCCTCGTCGTTGCGCATCGTTCTTTGTTCCTCAATCCCACCTTACGTCACCCCTGAAATTCCGCATCGAACACTGCCCCTGAACAACCCCATCCCACTTGCTTAGTTGCTGGAGAAGCCCCCAGAATTCGTTTGGACTCGCCTGGCACTAGGATCTCTAGACACAGTGACCACTGTCAACGCGATTCATGCTTTCGGCATGAAATAGTGCCGAAGAGAGAACTGTCGGGCTTGCGCCTGATGCATGCGGCGAAGGCTCAACATGGAGGGAAGTTACGGGGCAGGCTGTTCAGTATCACCCGCTGCATTCTAGGTGCTTGTGCTTGCATCGTTGCTGGAGATTTCCGCGTCCCCCTTGGCATTGGCTTTTTCTGTGTAGCAATTCTTATTCTACTATTACAAGGACCAATGTCGGACGTGAGTCACGTCGTCATCAAGCTATAGTGCGGTCGACTCTGCACCCAAGGTTCGGGTTTCATGGCGTCTCAAATTGTCCACAGAGCTTCATGTTCGTTCGCATACGGTGCCTTTCTCAGTAGTCCAAGGGAGTCAATGGAGCCATCCCTTGAGGAGCGCGCGGTCTTGTATCGACACGGTAACGCCATCACATGAAGTTTTGTTGTGGAGATTGTGCATACACACAGGCCAGAGTCCCCAAGGAGAGAATCGCCAGCACATGCTACTGGTAAGCAGCCCCTGCAACTTGGGAGAGATTTTGGCTGCCACACTCTCTCTGTTGTTGTGGTGGTCCATGGCGCACAAGACCAGGGAAGGAACCAGCGTAGAACCTGGTTCATCAAGCCAGATGTATGACAATTCGTCTCATCGGCAGGGCCACCCCTGCGCAGTCGTTCTGGTTCAGCTTGTTGGGGTCTGAACATGGACCATCATGCCGCCACTGGCCTCATACCAAGCTTTCCCGTCGACAGATAGCCCCTATTGCCCATCTCGCCTCGCCACCCAATGCCCAACACACCGAAGACGATCCGCCCGTCGTCGCCCGGCTCGAGGCCTCCTCCCTCTGCCGTCTCCTCCACGACGAAGCAGACCTGCTCGACCTCCCCCGGGTGCAGGACCGGTTTCCCCGCGGGGCCCCAGTTGCAGTCCGTGTACGCCAGCCCGCCCTCGAGGTTCAGCTCGACCCTCTCCAGCTGCACAACATCCTCGGCGCAGTTCTCGAGCTGCGCCTCGAGCACCCACTTCCGCCGCACCCTGCCGTCGGCGCCGCCCGGCGTCCCCGGCAGGCTACCGACCTTGGTCCGCACAATGAGCGACGACTTGCATATAAACTGGTACAGCTTGCGAAACGTGCGCGTGCGGCCCGATGTCTCGGTGGCCTCGTAGTAGCTCACCGTCACGGCGAGCACGTGGTTCCCCTCGTCCTTGAGGTCGAAGCCCACGATGCGCTGCAGCGTCTCGCCCGGCGCCAGGTCCGCTGTCGCCGTCGCCGTCGTCGTCGCCGCGGCGTCCGACGATGACGACGACGACGAGTCGCTCGCGCGGCCCGTGAGCTGGAGTTTCTGCACGGACCCTTGCGCGCCGGGCGTCTTCATCTCGGCGTCGATCCTGACGTCGCGGATGCGCTTCGTCGGCAGCGCTGCCGCGACGTCAGTGGACACGGGCGGTTCGTGGTTCGCGCAGAGGGTGCAGCTGAAGTGCTCGCCGACGTAGGCGGAGCCCGAAGGACAGCGGGAGGTTGAGGATCGGCGCGAGGAGAAAGGGGTCGGGGTTTCGTCGAGGCCGCGCGTCGGGCGCGTAGGCGAGCGAGGCCTGGATTCGTGGCTCCGTCGTGCGCGGCCGGCGCCAGCGGGGCTTGGTGGGGTGCTGCGTCACGAGGGACGGGCGGGAGAGTCTGTTGGTGTGTGTATCCTTGGTTAGGGCCCCGGAGGCGTGCTGTGCGGTTTCGGTACGGGGGAGGAGCTCCAGTCTGGCTCATCTTCGGACGCACCGGAGGACTTTGAGGGAGATGGAGTGCGGCTCCTTGATGGGATCGTGGGACGGGTAGCGTTGGTGGCTCATGGTGGAGGGCGTCGCATTCGTTCTGCTGCACGGGTTGACGGGACGTTGAAGAGAGAGAAAACACAAGCAGAAAAGGCTGCGCTGTTCGATTGATCGGTCGGTCCTCTGTTCAGTGTCTTTGGGCTCGTATACGTGGTTTGGAAATATCGTGCATGGAGACAGGTCGGTTGGAATGCTCGAGCGTTGGAGTTCAGGCGGGACGGGAAGCACAAGACAAGCTCGAGTGGATCTCTAGGCTATCGATAACATCAGCCATCGCGCCCAGCCACCCCCACCACTCGGGACCCCGCCAAACTTGGCCTGGCCATCTGAGCCTCAACGACAGGTTGCTTCTTGATGGTCTTGATGGTGTCTCGATAGTCAGTTCCCGGTCCCCTCTTTCGCCGGCCACACATCCTTCGGTCGTATGTGACAGGCGGCAGAGCTATGAATCATGAACAAAGTTCTGGTACGACATCGCAGGGCACGCTTGTGCACCGGACTAGGCCATAGAGCCTACCGCCGTACGACATCGGACAGCCAGAGTCAAGCTAGCTAGGAGGGGCCAGGGCCAGGGTATCATTCCGCTGAAGAGCCCTCACCCTCATCATTGATCCATGATTTGTAAAACTTGCTAAAGCATGTCCGCAGAATTTTATCCATCCGACGGTCAAGACTAGTTCATCCCATTCGACATGGAAGCGCTCTTCCATCCAAAGCACAAGTACACCGTCTCTCAATTGTGAAGGTACTCCGTGTCGTCAGTAGGTCTCACAAACCCAAGTGAATGATGCGCAGCAGAAAGGTCATCCTCGACAATGGCGTCCAGAAAGACACTCGCCGGGTAAGACACCATGACAGACACTGTTGATTGAACAAATTAAGGTTTCCATAAACGTAGAAACACACCTTCATTACGACGGCCCACGAAAATACGGACAGGTGCCGTTCGCCCCTGGATCGCCAGCGCGACTGTGGCGTCAAAACTGTCATTGAGATCCATCCTTCAGTCCCTTGCCTTTGACTTCCAACGAAGCAAAGTTATCACCATCGCCATCATCTTCAAAGGCCAGGTGGAGGAGGCACCGCTCCGTAGCTTCCTGTCCCGGGAGGCCCGGAAGGGGGAGGGGGCGGGGGCGCCGCGCTCGGAGGTGGGGGTGGGGGAGGAGCTGCCTCGCTCGGAGGCGGTGGAGGTGACCCAGATGCGCCAGTTCCCGGGGGCGCTGGCGAACCCGTCGCTTGTTGCTGGGCACCATAGTACTGCTGGTACATTTGGACGTAACTGTCTTCTGTCAGAGGCCGGATCATCGGAGAGAGGGGGGAGACTGTACGTACGCAGCATAGCCGCCATAGGCAGCGTAGGGATCCTGGCCGCCGTAGTACTGGGCGTACTGGGCTGCATAGTCAGCGGCAGAGGCGGCGCCGGCCGCTGGGCTATTCGTGGCGCCAGGGGCTGGGCTGGCGGATTGCGCAGCGCCCTGTCCCGCTCCGTAGCCGCCGTAGCCCTGGTAGGCGTTGCCTTGAGAGCCCTGCTGGCCCCCGTAGCCTCCGCCAGAGCCGTGAGAATGGTCGTTGGAGCGGTTCCCGTACCCACGATCACCGTAGCGGTCTCCATGGTTGCGGTCGCCGCCGTGGTGACGATCGCCGTGGTCTCGGCCGCCATACCCACGATCACCGCCATAGCCGCCACCGCCACCGCCGTAACTGCGAGGGGGCCGGTTCTTAAACTCCTCGTACTGCTCCTTGACATTGGCGATCAAGTCCTCGCACAGTTCCTTGCCCTTTGCCACCATCGCAGGATCGGGTCCCCTGTGTCAAGTCAGTAAAGAAAGCGTCTTTGCTGCGTGCCGAGTCAACCTACGCCACATGGAGGTACATGTCCTCCTCGCTCTCCTTGTTGGTGGAGGCTTCATAGTAGCCAGAGCCGCGGCCCTTGATCTGCACTCGACATTGGGTCTCAGTCTGAATGTGCTTGACGTACGCACCGCCGTGTCCGACGACCTGAGCACGCAGATTGAATCCCGGAACAGGGTCCAGATCGATGGGGATCTTCTCCTCGGGCCATTTACGCTGGAACAAAAAGTTAGCCGGAGCTTTCTGCCTCTCCTCGTCAGCAACCTACGCGTCCGTACTCGTCGCGCTCCACCTGCTCCTGGTCACGGCGCCGGAACCGACGTTCGTCGACAAGCTGGGGGAGTTCCTGAGTCATCATCTCCTCGATCTTGGCCACGGCCTGTTCGAGACCTTGCTTCGAGGTGCTTGTGATGTGAAGGTAGAGCGGCGGGTTCTGGCCACTCGTCAGTCAAGAGTTTCACGTGCGTGACGAGTCGAGAGGAAACTCACTGCGGGCGTGGCCATCGCCTTGTCGGGATAGAAGCTGCCTCGGGTAGTAACGTCTTGCAGGGTCAATATGCGAGCTCTCAAACGGTGAACAGAGTGGGAGGTGTCTCGTACCAGCGCCGGTCTCTTCTTTAATCTAGGCAGCGGGAGTCAGCAGGTGCCAAAGCGGGGGATGCTGTGCGAGCTACGGAGGCCCAGTAAGCAGCTAGACCTCTACACAAAAATAATGAGATGGAGAGGGGAGAAGAAAGGGGGGGGGGACGCAAAAAGCGGGAAGCTTGCGCGCGCAGGCAAGTTGCGACTAGCTGGGGGGGGAATCAGTGTTGGCTCAAAAAGGATTATTTACCATCTTCTGTGTAGACCCCTTGGTCAAGAGGTAACGGTTGCGCAGGTCATTGACTTCGATGTCCTTGATGTAGTCGCCATCAGCGACGTACATCTCCCCGTTGATGTTGTCCGCCGGGGGAGAGCCAGAGCCTCCCTTTGCCGTCTCGCTGGTCGACCGGATCGGTGGGACGTCAACATGCTGGATGCCCTTTTTGGCCTGGAGTTGAGCATTGATGCGTGCGGCGGCGGCGGCTGTGGAGGGGGGCAGAAGTCAGTGATCTACGTTGCATTGAAACGTGTTTGAGGATAGCGACGGGAGTCGATCACGCACCTGCGGCGGCGGCAGCATCGGCCGGGGCCTTCTTCGGCTCAGACGTATCGTTTCCGATGGGACTGCGATCTCTGGGCGGTTCGGAGCGCTTGCTGGGGGGAGAACGCGAGCGGCGGTCGAATCGGGAGGCCTTCTTCGGCTCCGGCTCGGTTTGATCGAAGCGCGAACGCTTGACAGATCGTCGTTCCGAGTCATCCATGATGATGGACTTCGAACTGGTCTGCTGTATGCGAGGGTGTTGTTTCGTGGCTGGAGACTGGGAATGGTCGGTTTGTTGAACCTCGGCAGCCTGACGTGGCAGTTCGCGCAACGGGTGAGGTAGTCGCAGAAAAAGCGTTTACGAAGCTTCCCAGGCCGAGATGGATTTCGAGGAAGGTGGAGCCTTGGGCGGCCACACTCACGCTTACGCCCACGTCCACGTCCACGTCGACGCCTGCATGGCCCGTGAGCTGCCCCAGAAGGCGCTAGTCCTGCCTCCAGGGGAGGCTCCACTGTGGCCGGTCGCCGTTCTGGGCGTTGGGCTAGACCGTACCCCCCCATGGAAGCAACCGAGTGTATTGACAGCTGCGGAAAAGACCCAGCCTGGCATTGAACAACCGTTGCTTTTCCTATCGATTCCTCTCTTGAAAGCCATGACATTGGCAGGGTATCGAGAGGATGACTAAGGTCTTCTGCTCCATCCCAGCAGTGGCCCTGGCAACTCTTTCCAGAGGGTCAGTTACATTGCATTGAGGTACCTTAGCTCCAACCTTATTATCAGTTCCAATTGATACGCAACTGTATTTATTGTCCTTGTAACGAGCGTATTCTGTATGCTACTCCGAAGACAGGATCTGTCCTGTGCCGTGGCCCCATGGCCCCGTGGGCTCCATGCGGACTTTGAATCCGTCAGGATCGTCACCCCCACATCATACCTCATTGCCTTGCTGTACTCTCCACCCCGACTACACCACTACAACGTCTCGACACTGCATGGACAGTGGAGCAGCGGAAAAGCACAAGCTGTCTCAGCATCGCCAACAGTGCCGAGCGTCAGACGAACATCTAGGGCCCCTTCACCAGGTCAGCCGCAGACTACCAAGGCGCACCTCAGTTGGCGGCCGTCCAGAGAGCAGGGCCGGGGTAGGGGTAGCTCGTGTACGAAGTGTACAGGTTGAAGATGATTCCGGGCTGGTTGCGGGTGTAGAGGCTGGTGCCGGCCACTCCGTTGGTGGGACGGACGGTGCCGCTGCCGCTGACCTTGAGGTTGAGGCACTGCGGGTAGTTCTGGGCACCGTTGTCGTTACCGGCGCCGTGCAGGGCGATGATCTCGTGGCGCAGGACGTAGTTGCCCGGCGCCAGGTTGCGGGGGATCGTCGTCGTCGTCGTAAAGTTGTTGGCGATGAGGCTGTCGGTGACCCAGGTCTGGCCGCTGACGATGCTCTTCTGGGCGAACTTGGACCACCTCAGGCTGCCGGCAGTGGTCTCACCTGATTGCGTCATGGATTAGACGTGAACTTGTACCAACGGGTTGGTGAGGGTGGGAGAGATGGCTTACCGTTGTAGGGAGCAATGTAGTCGATGATGGGGCCCTTGTGCGAGTCGGGCCAGGTGTTCCAGTAAATCTCAATGGTCTGGCCAGCGTTGACATTTACAAAGTTCTTGCCAGCAGTGGCACTCTTGTGGCATGCAATGTCATTGGTGCCGAACGCAGCAGGCTCGACAAATCCAAGGTCCTGGTTGCGAGAGTCCCAGCCAGCGGTGACCGGGCCTTGGCCCGCAGGGCTATAGAACCACACGGGGTCCGACCCAGCAGTCCAGACGCCGCCAGCCCTGATGCCGCGAACGAAGCCGTGGGCGGAGACGAGCTCAGGCAGGCAGGCTGCGAGGCCGAGGAGGGCACTGAAGGACCGCATGATGAAGAGTGTAAAGACGAACAGGGTACTGATGTAACAGAAAGCAGTTGGTGACGAGCTCTGAGCAGTAATCCATGTCTGGACGGTTGATCGACGTCTTATTTATACTGATCAACGCTACCATTTTTCTGCTACAGACGACGATGATTCAAAGTGATCGACACTGGATCCGTTGGTGGCAACCATCGTGACATGGTGCAAAATCACGGCTTCATGTCTCTATTCACAGGCTGAACCACTTAGACCAACTGAATTCCGCATCTTCTAAGCTTCTGTCATCTGTGAGATCTGCAAGCAGGTTTGACTGAGCATCGGTAATAGAGACGGCTAAACGTTCATTGGATCCAGCAAAGCAGCTACGGACCTCGATCATCCGCGATTCCATTTCTGCCCACTGCTTGGCACCGGCATTTATGTTTGAAACAATGAGAATGCTGGAGGGCGACAGCGTCAATCTATACTATTCATATAGAGATATTGACACAGCACCACAAGACAGGTCGCGCAACATGTCGCGACCGGAACGCTTCCTGCCGCTTCTCTATTCAGCAGCTACCTACCGGCCTATGCGGACACCCCGCGGGGAAATATGCATCCCCGCGGTCATGCATGCAATGCCTATGCCGAAGATAGAAGCGGCTTATGCCGTGCAGCTCGGGTTTAAGGAAAGGGCGTATAAGTGCCGGCTGTCGGTCCTTCGATCTGTCATCCATGGTTGAAGGATGTTTAGCGAATCGCCGACATGAATGACTCTACATAACAGCGCACGCCGTTTGTCAGACAGTTTCTCGAGAATCCCGTATGTGCTATGAACTTTCATACTCCTGAAGTGGTCTGGGGCGTGGCTGCTCAATTGTAACTCCGAACGCCATGTCTGCGTAGACTTTACGCGTTCTACACTTCTCGCAGTGATTTTGTAAAGCAAAACTCGAGTCATGACGCCAAACAACACTAATGCACTGCAAACAGGGAAAGAACCAATATTGAACGTCGGGGCTTCAGCTTCAGTGGCAGTCTATTTATGTATCAGAACTAAGAATAGAGACGACGAAGACATGGTATCGATGGCGTACTCAACCTCATGACGGGTACGCTGCCTAGCGTAGTTCAATTATAATATGAGAGACAATAGAATGTGCGAAAACCAATGCCGTTCCTCATGTGTGTCGGAATCTGATGGAGATATGAATGTAGGATGAAAGCATATACAGCAGAATCACTCGATTTGCTCGTGCTTCCACATCACAAACACGGAACCGTTCCAGGTGTTAATCCTGTGTTTGATCTCATTAGAATCCTGGGATTACAGACGACGATTTCAATCTTGATGTCCAGCTAACGCTGCGAAGTATAACTGAAGAAGATGATCAAAACGCAACGGCTAACCTCCTCTTGACAGAATATCTGGGACCCGCCCTCATATTAGCCTTGTGAGAACCTAAGCTTATGAAGGGCTCTGAAGGGCGAGCCAACCCACCCGATGCCTCACTTCCGGTCAGTCGCTCACCGAAACCCCACCGATCCACAGTTCGGTGAAAGCCACAGGTGAACCGTGCACGCACCTTCCCCTGCACCCACTCTCAACAAGCCCCAATTCCAGGCCAATCCAGCGACCGGCAATCGGAGGTCTGTGACTCCAGTGACTGACTGAACGTCCCCCAATTTTTCCCAACTACCCAAAAGCACCACCACATATCCCTCCTCTCCATCCCATCCACCACAACACCCAAGGCACCGAGCCTTGTCTTTCCTGGTCAGAGAGCCCCTTTGTTCTCGCAATTGATCAGAAATGGCGTCTCGCTGCCTCGCCGCGCCCATGCGGCTTGCCGCCCGACTGCAGGCCGCCCCGACTGCGACATCGCTCGCCTCCCAGCGCTGGAGCTCCTCCAGCTCGACCTCGGCTCTCGCCTACAAGGCCATCCGCCGTCGCTCCTCCCCCCTTCCCGTCGACCAGACGCCCGCCTGGTCCGCCCAGGCTGCCGTCTCCAACATCCTCTACGAGACGCCCACCCCGTCGATGGCCCCGCCCAAGCGTCACATCCTCAACTGTCTCGTCCAGAACGAGCCTGGTGTCCTGTCCCGCGTCTCCGGTATTCTCGCCGCCCGCGGCTTCAACATTGACTCGCTCGTCGTCTGTAGCACCGAGGTTGAGGACCTGTCGCGCATGACCATTGTCCTGACCGGCCAGGACGGCGTCGTTGAGCAGGCGCGCCGCCAGCTGGAGGACCTTGTCCCCGTCTGGGCCGTGCTCGACTATACCAACGCCGCTCTCGTCCAGAGGGAGCTGGTGCTTGCCAAGATCAACATTCTCGGCCCCGAGTACTTCGAGGAGCTCCTCGCCCACCACCGCGAGATGACCGCCGGCGACTCCGAGTACGAGGACGGCCACGACGTCTCCCTCGAGCAGACCGCCAAGGACTTCCACCCCAGCAAGCTGGCCCTCAGCGAGGCCCTTCGCCACAAGCACGAGCACCTGAAGACCATTACCTACTTCACCCACCAGTTCGGCGGCAAGGTTCTTGATATCAGCACCAACAGCTGCATTGTCGAAGTGTACGTGTCCCCCCTGCCTTTCTCCCCGCCTCGCATCCGCCCGCCCGTGGCACGTGTTGTTTGCATGCTGACATGTGATGGAACAGTTCCGCGAAACAATCCAGGATTGACTCCTTCCTCAAGCTTGTCGGCCCCTTTGGTATCCTCGAGTCGGCCCGCACCGGTCTTATGGCCCTGCCCCGTTCCCCTCTGCAGAACAGCCAAGACGACGCTCTTATCAAGGAGGCGGACGAGGTTGTCGATGCCAGCCAGCTGCCCCCCGGTTAATTGGGACTGTAGAATGATCAATGGACTCGGCGTTGGTCAAGAGGTACACTAAGCAATGTCTTTTCAATTGTGATCCAATTTTTATCTGGTATATCGAGACGCCTTGTGCGGCATCTACCTGTATGCCATTCGCCTGTATGGCATTCGCTCCGTGACTCTTTTGTAATCCATGCGCCTACGTGCTTCTCCACTTTTGCTACATGCTCCCTTAGATCTTACCCTTCTGCACGACGAAACCCTCGAGGGCGGCTTGGAAAAACAAGTCAGCGGTCTGAGCCCATGATGACACGATAAGGGGAGTCTTCGAGACTCACCAACAGCTGCCCACAGGCGGTTCTCGGCCTCGGGGAAGACGAGCGACCTCGGGCTGTAGAAGACCTCGTCGGCCACCTCCTCCGGGTGGCGGGGCAGGCAGTGCATGAACTTCCAGTGGTCCTTGGCGCCGCCGCGCTTGGCGAGATCATTGGTGATCTGGTACCCGGCAAAGGCCTTCAGCCTCTTCTGCGCCTCCTGCTCCTGGCCCATGGACACCCACGTGTCGGTGACGAGGACATCGGCACCCTTGATGGCCTCCTCGGGGACCGTTGTCTCGGTCAGCTTGCCGGGGGAGGCGACGCCGTCGGCGGACGAGTGAATGAGCTGCTTCATGACGTTGGGGATGCCGTAGCCGGCGGGCGAGGCGACAGAAATATCGACGCCCATCTTGACGCAGCCAATGGCGAGGTCGAACAGGACGTTGTTGGAGTCGCCGATCCAGGCGACCTTGAGGCCCTCGAGGCCGAGGCTGGCCTTGTCGGTCGAGGCGGCGGCCGGGAAGGTCTCGTGCAGCGTGGTGAAGTCGGCGATGATCTGCAGCGGATGAAAGTCGTCGGACAGGGCGTTAATGACGGGGACGCTCGAGTCCTTGGCCAAGTCGGCGACGTCGGAGTGCGGGCCGACACGGGCGACCATGCACGAGGTCATGGACGAGATGACCTTGGATGTGTCGTACAGGGACTCGTTGACCTTTTGTTATGCTCTCATGTCAGTCGACGGGGGCCTTGACATGTCACTACCAATTGAAAACGTACACCGAGCTGAATATCGTTGCTGCCCAAGAACATGGGGTGACCGCCCATCATAGCACGGCAGCCTCTGTGGAGACGCGGGTCCTCGTGCTCCTCTTGCTGAACATCATGGCGACCGTCTTTCCCGTGAGACCGCCGGCCAGAGACTTGGGCGCCTCGCCAGTGGCCTTGACGGCCTTCTTGTGAGCGGCAGCATTACGAACGAGAGTAGCAAACTCGGCAGGCGTGAGGTCGCTTATGGACATGAGATGGCGAGGGGTCGAGGTGGCCTGGGAATAGGCTCGGGCCTGAGAGCTGTTAAAGGCTGTTCGCACAGCGCGGAGTGCTGATTGCCTCATGATGTCTGGGTGGTGGTTGAGCTGAGTGCGGTGGAGCTGTCGACGAGTGAAAGTGAAGTTGTTGAGCGCCTTCCGAGATAAGGTTGACTGAGATAGGTAGGAGCCTTCGGAGTGGATGATTGTCAGTCAATTGGCGAGTCCCGACAGCCAATCCAAAGTGTTTATAGCGACTTGGGCTGCCAATGCGTGACTCAAGGCTGTGATGAGCTTGACTCACGGATAAGATGGAAGAGTAGACAGTTGATATTGAGTCACGATGGTAATCCTGAAGGCACGCTCACCGCTTTACACCGAAAACATGACAAACTTGGTTTGAGAGGCGATCGATTGGGCCAAAGCTCAAGCTCTCTAGTGATTCACGAGATGGAGCCGATAGCGGAGTTGGCGCTGTTCGTCAAGCACCTAACCCCATCCGGAATGGTTCCGGTTCCCGGTGCTGGGTGGGCACGTGCGCATCATGCCAGGGGAATCGGGCCCCCACACGCTCTCTCCACCAATAGCTGTTGCGTACTGCGCCTTGTTCCAGGAGGCTGCGCAGCGCTGACGAACCCCCCCAGGCTTGACATCATCATCAACCGCCAACCCCCATTCCAGGTCAGTTTGCCCATCCTGATTGTCACCTTCGTCTCTGTACCTGCTTCGAATGGACAGTTCACTCACAACATATATTTCCCAGTGGCGATATTTTCAAACCCATACCTCTGTGCCATGGTGAAGCTTTCGCGATAACTCCCCTTAACCCCACCTCCACGCAATCCACATCCTTACACCATACGTACACAAGCGATCCTGACCAACGCGACCATGTCCGACTCCGAGAGGTCACCTCTCCTCAGCCCAAAGGGCAAAGCGAGAGCATTCCCTGAAGCTGAAGATGACAATTCTGAGTCTGCGCCTTTGCTCTCTAGCTCCACCGCCACACCTAGATACGATGGCGACCAGGACGAGCCCAACGACCGTGACGCCGTCTCTGTCGCTTCACGCGACTCTACAGATTCCAAGAAGAAGAAGAAGACAGTACGGCTCATGCCGTGGCCATCAATCGTCGCAATTCTGATGCTCGTAATCGTTGCTGGCGTCGTTCTGCTTCTGGCCTTCTTCCTACCCGCTGCCGTTGAGGAATACGCCAAGGAAGCCGCTGTCCTCGAACCCACCAACCTGTCTCTCGAATCCATTACGTCGGACGGCGTCAAGGCTCGTATCCAGGCGAACTTTCGCCTCGATGGCTCTAGGGTCAAGGACGACTCGTCGAGGCGCCTCGGGCGTTTCGCCACCTGGGTCGTGCGCAAGCTGGGAACGGACGAGACCAAGGTGCATGTTTACTTGCCCGAGTACGAAGGCACCCTGCTGGGATCGGCTGTCGTGCCGCCTCTTGTCATCAACATTGTCGATGGCCACACGACCGCCATCGACTTCATTGCCGACCTTGCGCCTGGAGATGCAGAGGCTTATCGCACTATTGCGAATAACTGGTTGGAGGGCAAGCTCGACAAACTGAAGGTGCTGGGCAAGGCCAACATTCATCTGAAGTCGGGCATCATTCCCTTGGGAACTCACCCCATCGTCGAGACGATGGTCTTTGAAGGTCAATCACTTTACCGTTCCTTTGCATCTCTGTATTTTGGAGAGAAGGCTTTCTTGAAATAGATTCATGTTTTCCTTGCCGTGTTGCACCTCCAATCCGAGACCCCTTTACTGACATCGTCATAGGGGGCGAGATACCTAGCATGCCCGAGTATAACATTACCCGTGTCAGCTTTCACGACATCGAAACACCTGGTGACGGAAGGGGAGCCGTCGGAGCTGATATCTCTGTTACGGCGCACAACGACTTCCCCGTCAGCATGGAGGTTCCTGAACTTGGTTTCCAAGTCCTTGTTCCCAGTTGCAATGGCACGGACGATCGTATTGTCATTGCCGATGTCATTACTGGACATCTCACCGTGAAACCCAGAACCGACATCGTTGTTGACGCCCAAGGGCTCATCCGGGAGCTCCCTACCGAATTCACATCACCTTGCCCTGGCTCCGATTCATCCCCCATGGATGACTTCATCACCAAATATCTCAACGGCGACCCTCCCACCGTCTACGTACGAGGACAGAAGCTGCCGGAATCCAAGACGCCTGCCTGGATTGGCGATATACTCTCAAAGATTGTTGTGCCG